GCTTCAATCTCTATGTACTGTGTCCACTGCAACTGCTCACAGGAGTTCCCATTTACTGAGCATATATCCCAGCTGGGCATTTTGGGCAGGACTTTGCAAACAGCAACCCTGGGAGGTAGATAATATTGTCTTCGGGTGGGACAGCCAAGGCTCAGAGAGCACAGGGCACACACCCAAGGTCCCCGAGTCAGGGAGTAGCATAGTGGGTTTCTATGTACTGCGTTCACCACAACTGTTCACAGGAGTTCCCATTTACTGAGCGTATATCCCAGCTGGGCATTTTGGGCAGGACTTTGCAAACAGCAACCCTGGGAGGTAGATAATATTGTCTTCGGGTGGGACAGCCAAGGCTCAGAGAGCACAGGGCACACACCCAAGGTCCCCGAGTCAGGGAGTAGCATAGTGGGTTCAAACCCAGTTTTGTCTGACTCTAGAGACAGAATGGTTCCCTACCCCTGCAGTATAGCCTCAGGCCAAGAAGCATTCCACAACTACCTCCAGTTCTCAGGGGGCAAACTTCCATCAGGCTCACATCTGCCTTGCTCCCCTAGAGAAGGAAGGACTCTCAGGGACACCTCTAACAGCAAAAAAGGGTCACCATGACTGCCCAAGAGGAGACAACTTACAATATAAGTGGATAGCCACACCCAAGGACACCAGAAGAATCAGGACACCAGCCAGCAACAGACCAAGGATAACGGGGCCACAAGGTGGGCCTGGAAGACAAACATATTGAACATTTGAGACACGCAAATAAATATAAAAAGGGAAAAGTCAACTGGAAGGCACCTCTCAGAGAACACCCCTGTTTGTATATTTCCTTCTAGTCTCTTTTCTAGGCGCTTTAAATATACTGAGAGAATTTTATATGTAAAATTTCATGTCTCATGTCCAAATTAAAAAAAAAAAAACTAATTAAACTCAGAAGCTATTTATGTTCAAAGCAAATAGACAACTTTTATGACTAATGGGATTTTTACTATTTATTTTTTAAACTTATTTTAATTTCATAAGAAATAGCCGAATATATTTTCACTGTAAAAGATTCCCGTATATAAGTGCCCTTTGACATCCTTGCTCCTTCACAGCAGTAAATGCTATTAATTTGGTATCTTTGTCTCTGTATTTTCACGCACATAATTTACATAGACACATATAATCTTTTTAAAAAAGAGGATTATATTGTACGAATTGTTCTGCAACTATTTTCTTTCTTCACTTAAACATTTCAGCATACTTTTTTTCTAGCAGAGTAACATCTGAGGTATAGATATACAATAGATTATTTCGCCATCAGAGGACATTTTATTTCCTGTGTTTTATTTTTACAAATAATTTTGTGGAGAACATCCTGGTATGTTTCTTCTTATGCAGGGGCCTGCCTGACACAGATACCGAAAACAGGAACTAATAAACCATAGACTATGCCCATTTTAAATTATAACAGATACTGTCAAATGCCTTCCAAAGAGGCTACCTCGATCTCCATTTCAACCGCCAATTGTGTACCCTGCCGACCCTTGATATTATCAAGGATTTTAATTTTTGCCAGTCTAGTGGGTGGAAAATGATATTTTACTTCAATTTCCTGATTATTTGTCAGCTTCAGCCTATTTTTATATATTGGCTAGGTTTTTTCTTCTATGAGTTGCCTATTTGTTCCTTTGTCCATTTTGTATGCTATTTAAACAGCAGAATTTATATTATCAAAGCCCCAATCTTTCTCTGACACCCTCCGTGCCCCTATGGTTGTGCGGGTGACTGAGGGGCAGAACCAGGACACATGGGTGAAAAAGGAGAGGTTGCAGATTTGGGATTGAGGTTTAAAAAAATTAGAAAGAGTTTTGGATGTCAGGAAAGGGAGAGAATTTTTACTGAATACCTATTACGTGCCAAGTACAATACTAACTGCAAACTTCCATCTTGTGAGGAAGGAGGGTATTACTATCATTTCTCTCTCTCATTTTGCAGTTCAGAAAAACCAAGATTCAAAGAGATTAAACGACATGCCCAGGGTCGCCCAGGTACTGAAAGGCAGAGCCAGGCCATGAACACAGATCCTCCAAACTCTAAAGCCCCTGCTGGTCCCACCAGGACAGCTCATGGCTCACAGCTAATAGCACAACAGCACTGAGAGGCAGGGAGGGAATGGAGTGGGCCCCTCCAGGGGAGGGAGCCGGCCACTGCCAGGGCTGGATTGTGCACTGTGGAGGGGAGGCTGGGTGAGAGGCCCTTGAGAGTCCTTCTCACCTCTGAGATGCGAGGGTTTCTATCTGCCTCCATCTTAACCTCCTTCGTGTTCTCCCAGCCTGGATGAACCTCAAAAACATGATACTAAGTGAAAGGAACTAGGCATGAAAAACCACGTAGTTTTTTATTCCATTTATATGAAATGTCCGAAAGAGGCAAATCTATAGAGGTAGAAAGCAGATTAGTGGTTGCCAGGGGGTGGGGTGGGAACAGAGACTCGCTATAAACAAGTACAAAGAAACTTCTTGGGGTGATGGAAAAGTTTTAAAACTAGATTGTGGTGATAGTTGCATAACTTGGTAAATTTAGTAAAATCATTGAGTTATATGTTTAAAATGGGTGAATTTTATGATCTGCAAATTATAACTCGATAAAGTTTGTTTTGCTTGTTTTGTCTTTTAAGTACTGGAGGTGGGTGAAGGCTGCAGGGTGGTGCAGGAAAGGAAGGTCCCTTCTTTCTGTGGGAGGGTGGGCCAGGGGAAGCTTCCTGAAGGGTGGTCATAACGGAACTGGAGGCAAGCAACAAGTCTGCGTACAGCACGGCCATCTGCCCAAAAACATGACTCCTAGAAAAGCTGTTGCTTCTAATAACTGCGGTGAAAAGTCTGCTTGGGCAGGGGGAGCTGGTGGCCAGAGCCACACACTGACATATCACCCGGCTTCCTTGCCTCACTTGGGGTTTGGGGGCTCCTAAAGTCTGGACCTTACCGCATTTCTCCTGAGACAGTGGATTAGAAATTGTTCTCAATGTCTTTCAAAGGGCAGTCCTGAGCCTTAGGGAGCAGCTCCCTCCCCATGGGGGCCATGTGGGTTTCATTCAGAATAATAAGCTTTGAGCTCTGTCGGAGTGCCCTGCCAAGCTGAATGCCTTATAATAGTATCTAATTTAATACTGCCTTCTTTTTAGCCAGGTAAACGCCCGCATTTTACAGATGAAAAAAATGGAGGTTCAGAAAGGCTGACTCACTTGCCTAAAGTCCCACAGGATAGCCTGGATGACTTACCACTAGGCAACACTGTCCCACGGTCTCCACCTTAAATGCAACCTCCATTTACTCTCCAACTTCTCCACTCCACTTGGTTATCTTCACCTACATCCTGGTTATTCTAAATAGGCTACTAATGCTGGCTTTTCATTTTGCCCCAGGATTTTACTGAAGGTTGATATAAGAAATGATGCAAGAAATGCAAAGACCTTTCCTCCATCATTTATAAAATTGTTACTGAATTTGTTTGCATCCTCATCTTCATGGCCCTATTGTATCTGCCCTTTGTGTCCTTTTTTTATGGTACCCTCCCTGGAATCCTTTAGGCAAAACTATAAAATGAGGTCCACCTTGATGTTTCCCAGGATGCTGCCCTCTGCATATGGATTCTGATGTTCTTTTCACTGTGACCTCACATGGCAGCTTCTCACTCCCATCTCCGAGATCCTGTTAGATGCCTCTTCCAGACTCTTTCTGGTACTTCATATATATTTAAGACAAAGCAACCCCAGCAGCACGAAGCAGTCTGGTGTGGCTGCTGGTGGTTTATTCTATGGATTGGAGTTGATGGCACTTTCTGTTTGTCACCAGTAACTTTTGGGGAACAGAGGTCAGTATTTTCCCACATTCAGCTGATAGGTTCAAGAAAAGTGAGTGTATATATGTATTCCAACTGCAGTGTCTGGTGCTTATAGCACAGAGAGGCAAGTTTGCTCACTCATTAACAAACATATTAGGCACATACTGTGTGTTAGGTCCTCTGTTAGCATCAAAACTGGGAAAATTTAAAGTTCTGGTCCTTCGGGTTGGGTTTTTTGTTTGTTAGTTACATATTGTAAAGTTCTCCTGTTTAAAGTATATAACTTAATGTTTTTTGGTAAATTTGCAGAAATATGCAACCATCCCCACAATCTAATTTTAGAACATTTTTATCCCCCGCAAAAGAAATCTTGTACCTATTAGCAGTCACTCTCCATTTTTCTTCCAACTAATCTACTTTCTGTCTCTATGGAATATCATATTCTGAACATTTCATGTCAATGGGATCATATTATGCATGGTCTTTCGTGATTAGCTTCTTCCACTGCATAATATTTTTGAGATTCATCCATGTTGTAGCATGTATCACTACTTAGTTCTTGATTATGACCAAATAATATTTTATTGTATGAAGATATTATGACCAAAAATATTCCATATTTTGTTAATCCATTTATCAGTTGGCGGACATTTGAGTTGTTTCTACTTTGGGGCTATTATGAATAATACTGCTAGGAAAATTTGTGTGCAAGTTTTGGGTAGAAGTATCCTTTATTAAGTTTTGTCCTGTGACAATTGGTGAGTGTGTCCCTCACTAGACTATGAACTGCTGAAGGACAGCACTGCTGTCATACTCAGCTTGCTTTCTGATCCCTGCTCAGGGCCAGAGAAACAGGCTCAAGAGTTTGCATTTGGGAAGAGCTTATAAAAGGAAGGAAGGAAGAAAGGAAGGAAGGAAGGAAGGAAGGAAGGAAGGAAGGAAGGAAGGAAGGAAGGAGAAGGTGATGGAAGGAAGGAAGAAGGAAGGAAGGAAGGAAGGAAGGAAGGAAGGAAAGAAGGAAGGAAGGAAGGAAGGAAGGAAGCAAGCAAAGAGAATGTCTGCTGTGCTTCTGACAGTCCAGGGGGATGGGAGAACTCACCCTTCTGGGTCACTGTGCTTGGGAGCCGGCACCTTTTCTTCTTGGGGGTGGACTTCTTGGTGGGCTGGGCAGTGGTGGGAAGGACATCGACTACAGAAAGCAAGCAAGACATATATTTTAACCAGATAAATAGCAGGTGGACTTAGTGACAAAACTTAAAACTCCATGTCTTACCTCCAGGTACTGAAGTCCTTATGACTATTCTTTGGCTGCTATAGAGCTTGAAGGTCACAGAACAATAACATTTTTGATCTGTTTCCCCAACTCTCAGATCTATCTGTGTGCCTAGGGACAGGGGTCAGGTTGGTGTCCTGGAGAGAGAGAGGCTCAGGAGCTAAACAGACCTGAACAGAGAACCGGCACCCATGATTAACCACCGTGTGACTTCGGGCAAGTCCTATCACTTTTCTGTTCCTCAGTTTCCCCACCTGCTGAAATAAAGATGGTCCCCACTTCCTTCTTGGGGTTGTTGTGAGAATTAAAGGGGACAGTGTTCCCAGCAAAGTGTGAAGTAGACATGGCTCCACCTAGCTGAAGACATGGCTCCACTTGAGCTGAAGCCAGAGTCCCCAAACCCTTGACATGACCTGCCAATCCCTAAGCCAGTAGAGGAAGTTCATGGAAAAGAGGTGAGTGCTTTTTTCTGCACGTACAATGCCATACGCATTGTATATATTGGGATTTTCTTTCCTGCTCAGGTGTCTTTAAAAATTATGTACTATCAGAGTCAGAGAGATCTTTAGTCTAGTCTCAACTTTTAATTTCAAAGTGAATGTCTGTGAAATTAAGGGGAGGGGCTGACCCCAAACCCCTCTCCTGACTCCTGGATGAGTCACTCCTCTATTTTGTTCTAATTCAGTGTCTCATGCTGAAGTATTGTAATAAAACAGTGGGATAAGTACGCAGGGTAAAGTGAGATGCCCGAGGCACAGAGGCACTACTTAATTCAGCTTTTGCCTGTGGGTTGAGGAAAGACATTTCACTGAAATGATTTTTTACAAAATGATAAGAGAGGGAATAGGGCTACACCATCAACTTAAACTCTAGAGTCAAGGGTACACGGGGGGCAGCAAACTGGCCACTATGGGGCTGGCTTCTTCCATATAAAAAGTGCACACTTCGAGCCCTCCCTGCCCTGAGCCTCCCGAGGAAATTGTAGGTAACATGCACCGCTCTGCCTGCTTCACGAGGCTTTGAGAAGAGCCCACTAACTAGAATGAACACTTACTAAGCTTCTACCATGCACTAGTGGCGGTGCCAAGCACTTCAGTGTGTTTATTGGATGTGACGGCTTTTGGGACTATTATAAGCAGTACCATCCCCATTTTACCCCCAAGGAAGACTAGGTGCATGGAAGTGAAATAACTTGCCCAAAGTGTGAGAGGCAGGAAACAGCAGAGCCAGAATTCAAGTCAGAAGATTCCGACTCAAGGCTCTCATTGTGCCACACTGCTTTGGGTGCGAGTGCTTTTTTCACAAAAAGTTATGCACGTCAGCAACCCAAGATCCTGGTCATCAGAATGCTGGAGGAAACTAGTGTAAAAGGAAAAACAAACCAGTTATAGTGCTCTAAGGGTGCGTGAGGGGCCTGGCCCTTTGCCAGTGGTGTTGTAACATTCTGTTATCTCTCTCAATCCTCAAGGCCCTAGGAGTGTTCATTCTTCTTACTTTATACACGAGGGGACACAGAGGTCTCTCCATGGGTCAGTGGTGAGCCTGCAAGGGAGCCAGATCTGTAGGACCTCTGCACCTTGGCTAAACACAGTGGCCTAGGTCTGATGGGGGTTTGTAGACAGGCTTGCTCCATTTTAATTTCTTCTTGCCCAGAGCCGGACCCCCTTGATTCCTCCTGACACCATCCGCCCCCTCCGGCCCCCCCCTCCCTCCACCAAAAGACAGGCCTTTTGAACCCATCGTGTGCTTCAGGGGCCTGAAAAAGGCCCTGTCTTTCCCCAGATACTTTATCATCTGGCTCCTCCTTCAAAATGCACTGGCCTCTGGCAGGAGGTGGGCTCTAGCTCTGGTTCTCCTGCCCCTGCAGAAATAATGTGGTCACAAGCACTTGCCTTGGGGAGGGACTGCCATTCCTGAGAGCTGGGCAGCAGGAGGGGTTTGAAAATGTCAAGACCAGGAGTGAGTGGGTGGTGATGGAGGTGGGGGAGCTTCTACAAACCAGTAGTGCTAATTTTATCATCCACCTGTCACGGACCTTGAAATCTCATGAATGAGAAGATGTGGTACTCACAGAGACAAAAACAATAAACCAAACCAAAACCCCAGCTACCTAAAGCCCAATTTTCAATACAGGAATTAGTTGACAACCCTCAAATAATGTTCAGATTCTTACCTAGAGATCTCATTCCTCCCACCCCTCAACTTCCTGATTTAAGGCCCATGGCTGATGAGATGTGGCAGAGCATCACTGTTTTTCTTCTTCCTAATTGCGCTGCTGTCCCCAGCTATCCTTGTACCTCCCATGCTGAGTGGTCTAATTCCTGGAGGGCCCCTTTGTTGCTCTCAGTGTCCCCAGGGTCAGAAGAACCCACATGAGCAGGAAGCAGGATAGTAGGAGGGAGACCTTCAGAGGATTTGCCCCGGCCATGAGCTAACCTGGGGATGGGGCTAAAGCCAGACGTAGGCCTTCGAGAATTTCTGCCATGACTCCTTTGTACCCTTGATAGCTTAATCCTCACAGTCCCATATGGCAGCCATTTGCCACGTGTGCTACTGAGCATGTGGAACACAGCCAGTCTGACACGAGATGTGCTCTATATGTAAAACATACATGGAATGCTTAGTACGAAAAGGGAATATAAAATATTTCAGTAATAATTTTATTTTGCTTATATTTTGAAATGATAATATTGATAAACTGGGTTAAAATGCATTATTTAAATTAATTTCAGTGTTTCTTTTTAGTTTCTTAAATGTGGCTGTCAGAAATTTTTAAATTGTATTTATAGCTCACAATAAATTTCTACTGGATGTGCTGACTTAACTTATGCAGAACTGTAGCTTCTAGGGGCTGGAGGGGGTCCTGGAGGCCATCAGTAGCCCCACGATACAGATGAGAAAACTGTGGCCCAGGGAGGAGAGTGACCTGCCCAAAAGCACACAGTGAATTTGCAGTAGAACTTGCAGCTGGGCTCGGGGTCCAGTCTCCTCATTCCCTGTGATTTTGGGTGTGGGTTCAAGCCATAGGCGTCCCTGCAGAATGTCAGGGCACCTACCCCTCCACTGGTCCCTGTGTATATACTCTGAAGGGATTTCTGAGACCATCGTCAGGCCTGGGGACGCAGCTCAATCTAGTCACAGTTCCAGCTGGGCCTGATGTGGCTGAAGGACAGTGTTGTCCTGTCCCTGTAAGAAGCAATGATGCTTATCGGCACCACATTTACGACGAGATCATAATAGCATCTCCCTCCTAGGGTAGTTGGCAGCATTAAGCGAGATCAAAAAAAACATGAAACACTCGCATGGGCTTGGCCCTGGGCAAGTCTCAAAATATATTTTGTTACTATTAGCTATAGTGCTATTGCTCACGCTGCCGTCCCCTCCTGCAGAGCTGGGCTTGCTGAGAGTAGGGCAGCCCCTGTGTCTGGCATGCACCTGCAACATGTGGGCTCTCAATGCTCATCGCTAGTATTGGACCAGAGTCTTACCCACACTCAGCTGAATTCTCTTCCAGAAGGTCAGCTCGGGGTTCCCGATGGTCATGCAGAAGTAGACACCACTGTCGGAAATCTTCACACTTGTGAGATTGAGAATGGACTGGCTTTTCTCCTGAAGCACAATTATCTTCTCCTGTTTCACACCCTCACCGTACACAGCCCCTTTTGTGGGATCCCAGAAGGCCAGGAACTCATGGTGACTCTTTGTGCTTGGGGCCTGGCGCTGTCTCAGCCAGTAGATACGTGTGTTGCTGGAGGAGTATTTGGTTTCACAGTACAGCTCCGTCTTACTGTTGGTCTCAGTCATTTTGTACTCAAGAATTGGCTGGAGTGCAGAGCTGTCATGGAGAGCTACGAGAAACGGAAGGAGCAGAGACTATCAGCACGTTTTCCTAGGCCACAGTGCTGGGACCCCACAGTCACCCTGAGTCGAGTATCAAAGGAAAAGCCATGGAAGAACCGGCCCAGTTGCAGGGTCCAAGGGCTGTTGTAAATGCAGCTGCTGGCTCCTGGACTCAAGAGCTCAAGCATCCCAACTTCCAGGAGATCATCTGTAAGGTGGGTGTTTACTCTGTCCAACTTTATAAAGGGAACAAGGGAGAGAGCTGCTTTTGTTGACGACATGCTTATAAGCCTAGCTCTTTGCATAATTATCTCAATCAAGCTTCAAATTCACTTTAAGATTTTTGTCCCCATTACACAGATGAAGAAACTGAGGCATGAAGTTACTTGTTTAAATTTCCACTTGCAGCTAGTTACGTGACCTGGGATTCAAACTCAATGATTTGAAGTCTGAAGTCAAGGCCTTTCACCTTGCCCTGCTGCCACTCAATGTATACGGCTTCAGTAGGCTTCCGGCAGCTGAAGGAGACCCAGGGCAAGCTGGGAGAGGAGTTCAGAATCACAGGCAGAACACAGGGATGATTTGACCAAAATAAAAGAGGGGCAGCCTCAGTTTCTAGACAGCAATGACAACCAGTAAGAGGAAATCACTATCCCCTGGTAGGCATAATTAATGCCTATCACTTGCTAACCCAACAATTGATAGGTCACTGGATCCTCTTCTTGAGTGGAAGGACAGACACCTCAGAAGCAGGCCTGAGAGTTCATTTTAGTCTCAGACAGGAAGCACTTCAAGTAAGGAATTGTTCACAGAAAACGAGGGCAGAACTCACAGACTTGGCCTTGAACCAAGCCTCTGTCTCACAGCAGCTGTGGAACCTCAGGCAAGTCATGGAGCCTGTCTCTTCTCTTTAAAAGAAGGGTGAATTGAGGCTGTTGGTCTATCTGCCTCTAAAGGTTAGAATGTCCGAGGAAGCCAACGGTAAAGCACTATATAGGTAAATCATTATCCATGTGTCTCACATATCGGAGGTTGTTACTGGCGGCAAATGAAATCTTAAGGAGAAGGATTAGAATGGGTCTGTCGCAGCCAAGTTCAACAAACTAAATCTGACTTAGTGGCCTTTCACCTTAGCTGTGGGGCAGAGAGAGAGCTTGCAGGCCAGGGCAGAGACCCAGGAGCAGCCAGGCACAGACTTGAGTTGGCAGAAGAGAGACCAGAGTGTGTGTGTGTGTGTGCGTGTGCATGTATATGTGCGTGTGTGTGTGTGTGTGTACCTAAGGGGAGCTGGCTTACTGAGGTGGTGGCTCATATTCACAATCCTACCTATACTTGCTCCATGGCCCCTCAAAGGACTTCTCTAACACTGATGAAATGAACTTAAAACTTTTGACTCCACTCACAGACCACTCTGAGCTTCCATTTGCATCAAGAATGAAATGATACCTGGGGCCCAAGCGGCTGCTGGGCCTTTTCTTTTGTCCCTAAACACCATACTGCCTTTTCAGCAGAGTAGAGATTCTTCAATGTTTTGGGTCACTGGCCCCTTGGGGAAGATAATAAGAATAGAAAATGCCAATATTTATTGAACTATATAATGGTGCATGCATTATACCATTTAATTCTTACCAAATCCTGTTTTACGCCCTTTTTACATATGAGGAAATGGAGGCACAGGAAGGTCAAGGTCACACAGCCTGTATGTGGTAGATTCAGTTTGAAACCCAGGTCTGCAACTCTAGAATCTGAGTTTTGGGCCACTCCCTGAATTGAGGAAACCTCTGGTTCCAGGATCTTGGTCACCTGCTCGTGTACACATAGTGGGGCCACAAGTACACGGACTCATGAAAACCTTCCAG